AAAATGCGCCGCCACTGAGTGAGCGTGAGCAGGAGTCTCACATACCCCGCACACGCTGAGTTTTCAGCCTCGCGAGACCAAAATTATCAAACACGACAGTTATTTTCCTCAGCACCTCGCGAGATCGAAAACTCATATTAATCGACACGCGCACACGGTGTTTGAGTTACTGAGTACTGACACTTCGTACTGAGCATGGAACTCACGCTCCGTGCTCAGCACAAATCTCACAATGTGCGACGGGCTTTAGGTGTGACAGCACCTGTTTGGTTCAACGACACGATCTTATTGGGGCGTTGTGAGTTGATGCTCACGCGCACACGCAGCATTATAAAAATACAAGGGTGCGTAAATGACTTGACAGTTTGCAACCTGTGCGTCATAATAGAAGCTTCTAGCTTTTGGTTAAACGTAACAACGCGTTTCAGATCTTTGTGAACTAAATCTATTTAAGACGAGAATATATAGCAGAAACGGTGTGAAATTTGGACTTTTGTATCGTTATCAAGCGAAGACAATCTGACTGACTGGTCAATAATCTACTCGCCACGCAGCCTTCTTCAAAGAGCAGATAGATTTTAGTTGGACCCAAATAATCCGTTTCCTAACGTGCCCAAGAACCTCTTCAAAACGAGAATATATAGCAAAAAAACAAGAAAACGGAGACGCATTCAATATCAACAACGATGAATGGAACCCGATTAGACAACGACAGCAAGCCGATCGGTAGTCAAGAGAATATCGCAGACGAAATGGCTCGTAGCAAAGCATATTTTTATCAAATAACACCGTTAGTCAAAGCGCTGATATTATTGTTGTTTGTCGCGGCCAGTGCAGTCACACTGGTGGGAAACGGTCTCGTGATTATCATCATAGCAAAGATTCGGCGACTGCAGATACCAGCAAACCTCACGATCGTTAATTTGGCCTGTTTTGACATTTTGATGGCATGTACACCCGCTACAGTGTTCATGCCCCGGGACACTTTACTGCGGTGTCTGGCTTACACGGTCTACGTAGTCACTCTTCTTCACGGAAACGTGATGGGCATCGGACTGTCTACGATCAACAGGTACGTGGCAATCGTACATCCGTTACGCTACAACCAGCTAATGACTGTTAAGCGCACCTGCATTGTCATAGGTTTGTGCTTTCTGTACGCACTTGCTTTGGGTATTGCAGCAGGCATCGATATGACATATAGCTGGAGCCCGCCCTCGGTGTGCATCGTCGACTTAGAGCTCTCGTCCGGTTTCGTGGCTTTTCTTGTCAGTCAATATATTATATTATTTATCATCATGACTTACTGCTACACCATCATTGCCAAGATCGCCTGGG